GGTGTTGCACCCGCACCTCGCTCAGCCAGTGAGCGGCCGGTCTGTATGTGGGATCCGAGCCCTCAGCGGGAGCGCCGCTGCATTCCCAAGCGGCGCACTGTAGCAGTGCGCCACCGGGCCGGCCCTCACTTCAACACTTTTAATACTTGCTGCCCCCTCTGCTTGGAATGCTCTTCCTTCAAGGCTCACTCCCTCACTGTCTTCAAGTCTAGTTCAAGTGTTACCTTCTAGGTAAGCCCTTTTCTGATCACCCTATTTAATGAAGCAATCTTCTCCCTTCCTTGGGTTTGTAACTCCCTTTTCATGTTTTAATTTTTCTCTAAAGCACATATTTGTTTGTTATTGTGTGTCTCCTTCCTGCTAGTATAAATTTTATCTTGTTTCTTGCTGTATCCTTAGCTCCTAACACAGTGCCCAACACAAAGTAGATTCGCTAAGTGTTTGTTGGAAGAAAGTATTAATTTTTCCCAAATATTTTGGTTTACCAGTTAATAGAAAGAGCTAAATTGGTCATCCAATTGTCGGGGTCAGGGACCTATCTCAGGTAGGAGAAAAATGGTCAGAATCCTATGTTGGAGGGATATATCATTTAAAATAGCAGAAACCATCTTGGCTTTTAAATAATAACGACTAGTTAAGGAAGACAGCTCACTTTCTTCTTCAAAGCAGATATAAAATATAATATGCCTNTTTTCTCTAAAGCACATATTTGTTTGTTATTGTGTGTCTCCTTCCTGCTAGTATAAATTTTGTCTTGTTTCTTGTTGTATCCTTAGCTCCTAACACAGTGCCCAACACAGAGTAGATTCGCTGAGTGTTTGTTGGAAGAAAGTATTAATTTTTCCCAAATATTTTGGTTTACCAGTTAATAGAAAGAGCTAAATTGGTCATCCAATTGTCGGGGTCAGGGACCTATCTCAGGTAGGAGAAAAATGGTCAGAATCCTATGTTGGAGGGATATATCATTTAAAATAGCAGAAACCATCTTGGCTTTTAAATAATAACGACTAGTTAAGGAAGACAGCTCACTTTCTTCTTCAAAGCAGATATAAAATATAATATGCCTGTTCTATCCTAGGCACTGATTTTGTTTTCTCCAGAATTTGCCTTTGGCACAGTCTCCTTTTTAATAGAATACCATAGAGTCTGCTGATATTCGTTAATGATTTGTAGATAGGCTAAATACTTGTGAGATATAATTTTTTAAAAACCACACATAGCATAATAAATATTAGACATCAGATATTATCATTCATTTGTTTTTTTGATGTTAATGTTTCACCTACAAGCAAATTGAGAATGTTTTGGGATTGAGATCTGTCTAAAAGAATTACTTTTGCTTTTTTTTTTTTTTTTCGTATCAGTTACAGGATACCGTTGAGGCAGAGCTTTAAATTTTATTTGTTAATGTATTGGGTATTTGGAGACATCATTATTTGTTCTACTGTCTATGTTGCCAGTAATTTGGACCTTTCCTTTGCCTTGAATTTTCTTCAGATACTTTTGTAGGTGATAAGCT